ACACATTACAATTTCCAGTTTGCATACAATTTTTGCCACGGTCATGACAATGAGGAAAACAAGAGCATGGATGTCAAAGTTTAAACTTCTCCTCTAGATTAAAAAAGACCAACGTGTTATTAAACTGTTAACCAATCCTTATTTTTAATGTCTTAAGTCTTTATTTTTTTCTTTGCAAAGGTCCCCTTAGGGGCTCCATACTAACTTTTTTTTCCACAGTGAGGTTCCAGATACTAAGCCCCTTTACAATTCTAAAGCCTGTGAACATATACAAACACAGATGCACATTTACCTCTCAAAAGCATTTTAGATACAATTAACCGTTTAATTTCCATTTGTGATATTATGCTAATGATTTAATGCTTAGTGTATCTTAGCTTAGAAAGAAAAAATATGTTTCACTGTATGCCTTGATTGGTTTCATTTACCATTTTTAAATGTTTTAGAAATATGTGAAAATACCATTTAAACAAATGATTTTCATGTTGAACTCTGATTCAACAACGGGTATGTTATACAACAACTGGTAATAAAATATATTAGTAAAAGGTAAATAGAATTAAAAAAGTATAATACATACATAAGATTCTATATATATTTTTTATAAATATAAATTACCCAGCCCTGTTTATACTCATTACAAGACTGAAAATTTAACAGTGAAGTGTAATTTTTGTCAGATGTTTTTAACCACAGTGATAACACACATCATGTTGTTCAACAAGCATTCAAACCAAGCAAAAGAGTGTAAATATTTCCTCTTGCAACACGAGCGGCTTTAGCCTTGTGTCTAAAAGCATTCGGTTAGTGTGCATTGAGATGTTGCAGTAAACTTTGCGGGGTGAGGGGTTACCAATTTCTACAACAGTATGCTTCAGTGGAACACTCTGGTATACAACCCATTATCTCTTGCTTTCTCAAAGACACTCACAAACATAGATGAAGAAGGGAATCAGTAGCCAGTATACTGTTGCATTTGTCCTATTAACCCCATTCCTCTCCGTCCCTATCTGATGGTTGCCTTCAGCATATAAACACGCTGAGTTTTTGTAAACATGAGGCATTAGTCATGTAGTATGTAGCCTAGACTGACCACCTCATTGCCCTACAGTTTACCACAATTAATTGCATTAGAAAGCAAGACGGACAGAAAGAAAGACAGAAAGAAAGAAAGAAAGAAAGAAAGAAAGAAAGAAAGAAAGAAAGAAAGAAAGAAAGAAAGAAAGAAAGAAAGAAAGAAAAAAGAAAGAAAGAAAGAAAGAAAGAAAGAAAGAAAGAAAGAAAGAAAGAAAGAAAGAAAGTGCTACTACTATTGTGCTACTATGTGAACAAAATCCAGTAAAACGCACTAGGTTTCTACACCTAGAAAATAATGTAAGTTATTAAAATAAAATAAAAAATCCATGGCCATAGTTAAAATGTGTGTGTGTGTGTGTGTGTGTGTGTGTGTGTGTGTGTGTGTGTGTGTGTGTGTGTGTGTGTATATATATATATATATATATATATATATATATATATATATATATATATCTAGCCAAAATAAGTTCCAAAATATTTTATGGTGTAGAAATTTAGAGTAAAAATATGTTTTTTAAAATCCTTATCTAGTAAATCACAAACAATTACCGAATACGAGGTTATCGAATATTGTTTAATCTTTTGACAGCCCTAATTCAAACTCTTCTGAACTTCTGAGTCTTCTGTTGTTGTTGTTGTACATGGAGCTCAAGAGTGTCCGCCATTCACATTCTTTGAAAAGAGTGCCTCAGAGATTCTAAACTTCTTTAGCTGCGTTCAGTGGAAGACAGAAAATCACTTTGGAATGACATGAGCGTGAATGAACTACTCCTTAAGTGAGTGAGATAGTATTTGTGTTTTCATTATCACATTTAATCATCATACTTAGGCCAAAACCCAGCATGTGTGTGTGACTTCTATGCTCTACCCTCTATCTCTGCTCTCAATGACCCATAGACTTCTCTAATTTTATTTCCCCATATTTTCATTAGTTGTGGCTGTGCAACCGGGGAAAATACATTCTGCCTGCGTGTGTGTGGCAGTAAATCAATACAGTGAGCGTTAGTCTTCTCTTCTCCTTTCTGTAGACTGTCATCCCTCAACTCTCTCTCCCTCTCTCTCTCTCTCTAGGTTAGACTGTTAGACTGATAATGCCTGACCTGAAGGTCATCTGCCGCAAACATCCAAAGGTATTACAGCCTTCTGAAGAGACGTAGTCAACAATACAAGCTGGGGAGAGTGTGTTGTGATGGGTGACACAGAGGATATAATAGCTTAACTATCTCACTATTGTAGACGTGATGCTTAAAGGTGCAGTGTGTATTTTTTAGCGACATCTAGTGGTTCGGTTGCAAGTTGCAGTAAGGGCTCAGCCAATTGCTCCCCCCTCCCTTTCAAAGAAGCTACGGTGGCTAAAATGGGACAAACATATCGTCGACTGAGACAGCAGATGCATAGCCAGAGTAAGCCAAGAGTTTGTAACATTGTCACTGTTTCTGTACCACAGTCCATTATAAACCACATCATGGATAAAGTTTACAAAGCCATAGTCAGGTGAGGATCAAGGGTCTTAATATATAACAATAGCAATCAGCTGATTGTCTCACAAACGTAACCAGCACATTTCTCCCCACATAGCAAACCCATAAGATTTTGAAAACTTTTCGCGATAAACTTCTCTTTCAAGGTAGTAACGAACCGCGCTCAGTAGCTTTGTTTGTTCGCTGTCGCCTACGGTAGAAACATGACGTCACAATATGTCAACCTTCATAGAAGGGGGTTCCTGTGGTTATGGAGATATAAATGTCTCATTCAAAGGTAATAAAAACATTATGTTTATTAAGTAAGTTCTTTATACACAACTAAACACATAGTTATGGATGTCATATTGCATTTCTCATAATAGATACTCAAAATTGTTACACATTGCACCTTTAAAACACCATTTTGTATTCCTGCGATGGCAAAGCTGAATTTATCAGTCTTCCGTGTCACGTGATCCTTCAGAAATCTTTCCAATATGCTAATTTGGTGCAAAATGATTATCAATTATTATTGGTGCTTAATTATTAATAATGGTTCCTATTAATATTGATGTAGAAAACAGTTTTTGCTGTTTAATATTATTGTGAAAACTGTAATCTTTTTTCAGGATTCCTTGAAGAACATTCATTTCAAAAGCATTTATTTAAATCAGAAATCTTTTGTAATATTATAAATGTCTTGCACTCTGTTTTTATCTTTCTTATTTCAATTTTGAATTGTAGCATATCAAGGTTTCCACTAAAATATTAAGCAGCAAAATAGTATTTGACTACAGTGAACTAAATATCAATTTAACAGATTTTGTGAAAATTATGACATATGATTTTAATTGTAGGATACAGTCAAAGCCCCTTCTTGAAGGGGATACAGACATTTGCCATGTTTAAAACTAGCTCATTTTTATATAACAAAAAGAAAACAGCATATATTATCTAGTTCTCACAACAACAACATATGTGGGGGGGGGAAAGTAAAGTGCCACATGTCAGTGAGTTAAAAAAAGGAAGGTGTGTCATCCCTGTTTATTTAATGGCAAAAACACAACTTGCTCTTCTTTTCTCAGTGGTTCTTGCCACGGCAGAACGTGTGATCAGAATACACTAATAAAACCAACTATTTTTTCTCTTATTATTCATCTTCTCTCCTTCCATCTCTCCTGTCAGCTTGTGACTCACAGCAACAACTGAATCAGAGAAGCATTTAAGTGCAGGAACCAATTTTCCCCACCGTATAAAAACCACATGAGTACGAGAGCCGAGCAATTACCAGCGACGATGACAGCTTTAGGGTGGCGCTCGGGTCGTAAATTTCTCACTCCGCATGCCATTGGGAGATTTCTACATGCTTTGGATATCAGGACGGACTCCCATAAATCGCAGAAACGTCTATTAGAATTCCCATTCCGGCTTTCCTCTCTCCTAACCCATCTCTTCACGCTGCCTGGGGAGCTAACCTAGAGCGGTGCTAACGGCGGCGCCGTCATGAGGGGGACTGCTACGGGAAGACGAGGGGGACTGCGAGGAGCTAATTTGCACAGGAGGAGGACAGCGGGGCTGAGGACGACGCTGCCAAGGAATCGCTGAATGGTCGAGAAAGCAGAGGAGATGTTGGAGACACGGCGAATGCGCCAGAAAATCCACGAAGGAGGACTCGCGAGGCCTAATCAATCAAAGAGTGTGTGCGGTGATTAAAAAGCACTCAGGTGGAATTTGTTACAGTGAAGAGTTTTCTCTCCTCAAAGGAAGAAAAAGAGCCAGTGACTGACAGAAACTGAAATACTATAGGAGCCCAGATTACAAAGCCTTGGAGCTAAGCATTTGTTTTACAACAGTCCCCAACCCCAGTACAACCTCATTGTACAAACGGGGGAGAAAAAAGTTAACAGAACGAAAAAACTAGTGTGAAATTTCCAAGTGATGCACCATATATTATGTGACAGAGCATACAATATTTTTGATTTTACATTGATGTTTTCCTGAAAATTAAGCATTTTTTTCCCACGACAATGATTCTCATGACTGTATTTCAGTATTGTGTACTTCAATATAGTTATACAATTATTATTACTATTTCCATTTATCAAATTTTACTTTAAGCATGCTATGACTTTAAATTGAATGATGTTTGACTGAAAAAAAATTGCACCTTACATTAATCAGAATTAAATCCTCACAATATGGTAATGAGAACTGAGATGAAATGTGCTTAATTATAAAAATTATGCCACAGACTAAAAACAGACTACTTTTTTAAACAAAATATAGTTCCTTGTTTCTATATTTTTAACTTTTGGGTGAAATGTAATCATGTGTTTTGTGAGATTTATCCAAAATGCCTGAAATAAATAGTAAACATAAAATCATATAGTAATAAAATGATTAGCTATTTATTCATGAACTTGATTTGAAAGCAGAGAATGACATCATAACAGTACTTACTTCTCATTGGATGAGCTGGCCTTCCGCTGGCAGAACATGGACAGGGAGGAGGACCCAGGCACTACTTCTTGCTTGATTTCCCACGCTGCCAGATTACTGGGCTTCACCACCATGAAATTAATGCCTTCCCCATACTGGACTCTAAGGAAATCAAGAACACAGGATTTGAGCCTAAACAACACATCTATAAACTTATTCTCTTGACATAACTTTATACAAATTAAGCTCAAACACACATTTCTGTTTTTAATTTAGAAAATGTAGCCCCTTAATGATAACATATTGCTTTTTTATTACCCGTTTAATAAATAATCAACTACCACCAGGTATAAAAAAATCCCTACCAGATGAGGTTACATTAATAATTAGTGATTCTAATTCTACATCCAAATTTAGAAAAGCAACCCCTTGAAAAGTAGATCATACTTTTTTCTTAGCGTTCTCTCAACAACACATTAGTAAGCTAACACATATTAAACACCTCTGTTTTAGGGATTCGCATCGGTGCATTGGCATAAAAGCTAACGATGCATCGATTTAAATAAGTGTGCATCGATACGAGTTGGCATTTGTATCGCAATGCATCGTTTCTAACATATCTGCATCGGTAAAAAATTTGATTTATTAGATTTATTCATGTATAACTATTTGTAGATGTGTTATACTTTTACTATTTAGAAAGTGACCAATCATTTGAGACCAATATTTTATTAAGTAACTGCTGCATTGTGATTTCCTTGTTAAGTCAATGTAAAGACGCATTTACAGAAGCCTGTGACTACAAACAATAGTTTTTCAGTTGATTTACATTATTTACATTTGAATATTAATGAAAGACCTGTTTGTGAAAGGTTTTTTTTTCTTCATTTGTATTATTGTTTATGTTAAAACAGCTCCTGCTTTCTGAACACAGTATAATATATGATTCAAATACGCCTGTTGGCAAGTTACAGAACATTTCTTTTTTGTTTATCCCTGAGCATCCTTAGATTGTTTCACTGATAAATGTGTAACTGGAGACAGGACCGGAAAAGAATGTCTGTTTTTATTTAGCCTAATCTTTTTGTTTTATGAAAACCAAATGTTATGTGAAAGAGCCAAGCATTAAAAGTCAGATGGCACTTAAGCTACTTTATGATTTGCTGTACGTCTGGACAAAAGAAATAAATGTTAACTATTTATATAACATTGAATTGCATAGCATCATATTTTTTTCTCCATTACATCGTATTATATTGAATCGCATCGCGTTGAATCGAATCGAAATCGGATCGCACCGCATCGTAATATTAGTGAATCGTATGGCATCACATGGGTATCTTTAATTTATCGTATTGTTGGCTATGCATCGAGATCTGTATCGTATCAGCCTCAGCTACTGTAAGGAGATGCACATCCCTACTCTGTTTGTGCACTTATGTACTTTGGAAAGTATACAGTAAAGAATTTAATAATAAGTGTACGAGTATGTGTGCATTTTTTATTGATAAACCTCTGTCCTCTGTACCGGTCTGCTGACTCATCTATTCCTCACCTTAGCAAGATTCTGCAGACTTTATTAACACACACACACACACACACACACTGCATCTGTCTTTCAATGGCCTTGGAAACAGCAGAGGTGAGATTCCCATAACACTTTATTCTTTAGGTTTGGCATTACTATTTTTTCAGAGTCTGTTATCAGTAGTTACGTTTACATGGACACCGTTTGTTTCCATCCATTTTTTTATGATTTATGAATCAGAACACAGTGTTTACATGAACACTAAATATAGAGATCAGCTTGATGTCCGCATTTTTATGTCACACGCTTCAAATTAGAATTTTTTTTTTACATGCACGCACTGAGTTTCCCTTGGTTTGCACACACTATTCTACTAAATTACTGCTTTTCTTAAATTGGAGACAACAAGCACATGAACCATAGTGACGTGCTGCTTATAGCCTATTCATCAAGCAGGAAAAACACCCATTCCCGCACCGTCTGTGGATGAGTGTCTGAAACAAGGACTGGTGGGATGTTGTCCTGTTCCAATTCACAGACGATGATTGGAAGGACATTTTTAGAATGATGCGACAGTTATTTATGACACTTCATTCATTCCCTTCATTACGCCATTTCTACGTCATTGCACATGCGCAGTCCTTTCCAGTTTTGGTTTTTAATCCGATCAAATGTTTACATGTCCTCTTGATCAGATAAGAAAAGGTTTAACCCACCCCTTACAATCCAAAAGAAATCTTAAAAATCTCGGATTTGGTCAATTTATTCTGATTGACAAGGTTATGTGACTTTTTTATTACGAATGTGCTAGAAGTCCGATTACAATCAGATTGGGTCCATGTAAACGCAGCAAGTCTTTGGACTATATGCATATTCAAATCAAAATGCAAACCACAGAGAAAAAAAAAACTCTTTTCAAACTAATTCATAACGACTGCTAAAAAGATCAGTTTTCTTTTCTGAGTTTGGTCTCATAGACTAGTGATGCACCGATGTGAAAATTTTGGTTGATACCGATAACTGATATTAATATTGTTATGGCCGAAATCGATATTTACCGATGTCGATATATCTGAAAACACATAGAGAGGATTGGGGCTGCACGATATTGGTAAAAAATGGCATTGCGATATAAAAACAATTTCACCAGATGACTTGAATAGCTCTATTTGGAAAGAATTAATCATTCTAGAATGACTGGGGTGGTTTTGTCATGGAGTAAATCCACATAGAAACCAATATTAATGGAATGTTAGCTATGTAGTTAAGTAGACTTTAATAAATAGAACCTTATAGCGTTTCTTATTAATGTCTCTTGAGTTCATGTTGGACAGATCAGTTGTTTTAACCATTCATTAAAGTGAATCAGTTCAAAGGAGTCATTAGTTCGCGGATAAGACGTGTCATTACGGACCATGGCACACGTTGTGTGATTATCCAGGTAGTTTAGGACATCGCACGAGATTTGTCTCAACACAGAAAACATTTCTATGTTGAGCAGCCTTACAAACAGCAACGCCTTCCAGTTCCTCCTGAACCAAAACAGCGAGCTTCTGTTGCATTCACAGCATAGCATAACCATAACTACATCATAGATGACAACCTGTGATGGTCTACTCAGAGCTGTTCACATCCTCAGACTCGGATTTATACATTTCAATGGCAACACTATCAATGCCAAGATAAATCTGCAGCAGTCAGGTGGTACAAATAAGAGCTCTGTAAGATGTTTATGTTCATTATAATTAAAACATTATGAGCTTTGTGACATGAGGAAATTTAACAACATCTCTCATGGTGCTCAGCAGACTTTGCTGTGCATGTCATATTTTTTGGAGGTGTGGCTTTGGAGACACTCTGAAGGAAGGGTGGAACTATTGCTATTGCTAGCCTCTCCAAAAGAGCCAAAATGTCTTAAGGAACCAACTTTACAAATTCTGAAAACCTGAATTCTGACTCAATTACAAACATTCCATAAACAAACAACTACTCAAAAGAAGTATAGTTTTTTTTCTGTTTTTAAACCTCCAGTTTTGCAGGAACTTTTGAGAAGAGTCACAAAGTAACATATGGGTAAAATAGCCTGCTTTCATAGTCACAACACAGCTGCTACACATCTCTTATGTAACTTCTTAGCTATTGTGTAACAACTAATTATTATTTTTTTTCCAGCATATCTGAACATGCATTAGGATATATATTTATGCAATGAATAAAATCAGATTCTAAATGTTTAAATCATTGTGATAGGGTAAATCAAAGTTCAAACTCTAAAAATGGGTGAATCATCCTTGAACAGGCCATCGGGATGCTCCGGGGGGTGTCTTCCAAATGAATAAATGTTAATGTAATACTGTATATCCCAGTCCAGTGATCACATGGTCTGTAATATAAAAGTCACATGGAATGTTCAGCCAGAGTCCTATTATCATTATAACCACGGGTGTAATAAAGCTGCGTTATTAAAGAACAGATATCGACCATCATTTACCAGAAAACACACATGCGCATAAATATGGTGATGCTGCCAACTGATATTTCAGTTCTGAAGACTACAATGGAAAAGCACTCTGGTAGTGAGCATAACAACGGGAAAGGTCATGTATTTGTGTGCGTGTATGTCTGTGTGTAAGAGTGGACACCGCACAGGAAGCATTCGGGTCTGCAGGCCAATCCAATTGGCATTTAATTAACTGGGGACTCAGATCAAGGAGTTTACCCTTCTAAATCAATCCCCTTTCCCGAGACTAAACGCTCGCACACGTACAAACACACATGGTGGATTACACAGGTGGATTAGCAGGGTTTGTCTGGCAACGTGTCAGTCGGAGATGAGTTTGCAGTTTGTGGCGTAAAGGGTGACACAACCTTTGCACCAAAACAAACGGCCGTGTTATTGTATGTGTGCGTGAGATAGAGAATAGTGTGTATCAGCTTGGCATAATTCTGCATTTAGACAGCGAATGTAACACAAACACAGAAATCAAAATCACACATACTGAGCATCTGAGTTTGCTTCCATGAACTGGTGGCTGCATAATATCTGTTGGCGTTGATAAGTTTGGCATTTAGCAGTTGACGTGGCTACATTTGCACTTTCCGTTGCTCTGCTCCAGACCCTAGTCAGCTGCTTAGATAGGTGGCCATTTTGGGGATCATAAGTGCTCGCCAGACTTTTCCAAAAAAGGCAACCTTCTTATTATGATGCCTACGAAGGACAAAGTCTAAGGGAGCATTGTATCCTTCACAGAAAAGCCAATTCCATAATTACAATAAGCTTGGTAAAACATCTACTACAAAGGTAAATAAATCGGGCTTTCATTTCATTCAATATAAATGTGTCATTTGGTATGCATTTTGATGCTTATTAGAGGACCATTAGCTTAGCAAAATGCTAACATCAAACAATTGAAATCAATTAGGAGCAAAAATGTGGAATGTTATTTGTGTCTTGTCCTGAGTAGAGCTGCTTGATATATATTGAAATAAAATAAGTATGACGATTTGGCTTAGAAAAAACTGTGAATAATTACATTTTATGTGCGTGAGTTTGGCACTGTGTCCAGTTACAAAAGTGGAGCACATCGTGCAGTTTTAAATAAACCCAGTGCCACTCTGAAACCAGCAGTACATT